AGTCAGACAAAGATTTCCATTGCCGTTATAAAATGGAAATTCTATGCATATGTGTGCTAGTTATGCCCATGTTCAGTTGTAGTAAATCATCCCGTCACAGCAGTTGAAGTACAGGCACTCTCGTGACTGTTCATATTCATCGATTAAAATCCATTGATTGAGTATTTGATGCCTCAAGCGCATATTTTCACACTGAACAAGTGACTGTGAGCAACCACATATAAGTTTATGAAGAGTTTGCTGAAAAAAAGGGGGGGGGTCCATAAGGCAAAGTGAAAGCCATATTTCGCAATCAATAGACTCCAGATGAAGTTTCAACAAGAAAATTACCATTTGAGTTTTTGAACACCTGTCTCCGGTGGGCTCAAACATCACTCGCAGAACTGAATGGGACGCTATTCCATGAAAGAGATAGTGTCCACCTTCTCTCTTCATAAGACCTTCACACTAATTGAAAACTTTACAGTTTTTGGTATACTCTGCCAAGGAGGTTGTTAGGTAGAACTCTTAATTGAATTTTGCTTGAAGTTCCGACAGGTGGAAACCATATGACAATGAGCTTCAGAGGGAGCCAAAACCTGTGGAAAATGGATCTGGGGTGGCTGAAGCGGGCCCTCCGTGCAAAGTGCAATTTCCGAATTGTAGCAAGCGAAGTGCAAGTTTCTGAATTGTAGCGTCAAAATGCCCACATTACTGGAATGGCGGCAAAATGGTGTGCGCGTGAAATCCCGCGAAAGAAAGAACTAGAACTAAATGAGAGAAAATCAGAATGGATGGAGCAGGAATTCAGAAAACAAGACAACCACGCAGCCACAGACAAGCAGTTTACCTTTTTAAAAATCGGGGTGGTATCAGGAGCGGCGGAATGAACGCGCCCCCGGTTGCCCTCCCTATCAATGTGATCAGTTAGCGATCGATTCGGGAGTGAAACAACCACTGCTGGAAACGCCACGCGGTGGCCTTGATCCATGTCTCGTGACAACGCCCCGACTGGTTGCGACGGTACCAACTGTACATACAAAGGCCGTTCAAAGTATTTCGGTATCGGAGAAATTTAGCAGTGAAGAAGGAATTCGAATCATTCCAATAGGTGACACTCCCTGAGGGTATAAATACAAAATTTCATTTAGTTATCATCAATGCTATTCTAGTTATCCTTGGTGAAAGAAGACCAGAATGACTGATGCGACAATGTTGAGAAAATGATTACTGATTAAAAAAAATGAGAAAAATGAAAAGAAAATTGAGAAAATGATCAGTGATTACTTCTTGTTCCCCAACCTAAAAAAAGATTTTGGTGGAAAGCGTTTTTCTGACGATGAAGAGCTGAAGGCAGCACATTTTGGGGACAAAGAGGAAAAATATTCTCTAGGGCGTATTGAAAAGTTAGTTTCCTGAGCAAGCAATCGTATCGGGGATTACATTGAGAAATAAATTTTATTCAGAATTTTCTGCCTTTTCCTTCGTACCTATACCGAGAATACATTGAACACCCCTCGTATGCCTAATAGCGCCTAATTCTAGGTGAACCGATCTTTCGCTCGCTTACATTTGTTTCCTAAGGTTACATTTGTTTCCTAACAATAAGAGTTAGCTGTGAATAAGTGGAAGATTGCAAGAAGTTCAATCTATTATTCATAATCTCTGACCCATGACGTCATAAAATCGCAATATCAGTCGAAATGTGTCCACGAAATGTTCACGATTTCGGCGTAATGTTTTGAAAACGAGCGCCAAGTTTAACAGTGGTGTTATCAATAAGGGCGATATGGAGCCACTTGATTTAAATGCTTTCAGCAAGCTGTTCATTTGGCAGACAAACCAATAACACCTTCCGACAATCAACTGATAAAATTTTCGGCAGTAGTAACTTGGGGGGGACTCAGTTTCACTGACTTTCTGCGCAAAATTGGGATTACCAAACTTGAGGTGAAGACTTTTGTCTACAAGCCTCGAGGAAAGGAGCTCTTCGAGACCAGTCTTTACAAAGTAACCTCAATTGCAAGTTCAGTTCAATTCAGCCATTACAACCGTTTTCGCTGTAGACACCGGAGCATGTCAGAGGTACTTGGTTTGGCGCCACGCCAACTCGTTTTCCCCGACTGCTGTCGCTTGCTCGCCTCAATGATTGGTGGAGAACGGGCTGACACTGCGCCAAACCTAGTCTCCCTGACAAGCCTCATAGTATTCAGCGAAAACCACTGGGTGACGACGTGTTAATCCCAGTGTTGCACGAAGATTTTGTTGAATGTATCTCTCAACCCCAAGTTTTAGGTCTGATTTCCATGAAAAATGGCCTGCTTCAGGCACCTACAGACGGTCAAATCCTAATAGCATAGAAACGCATAGGAACCCACTCAGAAAATGCTAGAAGCCAGTGATTCTGAATGCTCTTTGTTACGTTTAAAACAGTACGTAATAGGCTGTCCCAAAATTGTGAAACTTTCTAAAATTTAATTTTTTCGAGTCAAGTTGATTCCAGTGAGAAGCAATTTTGATCATTAATATATATGTTACCTTCATGCAACTTGAAGGCAACCACGGGCGAGCGTTGAAAACGGGGTATAGTGTTGGACACTGCATGAGTGGTGGTTGCCTTCGCTTTTCAGAAATTTCTTGGGGTTCTGTGCATGAGAAAGGTGCGAATGGGTCATTTTTTCAGGTACTATGCAAAAATCGTAATTTTTTTACCCAGACCGGTGGCCGCTGTGGGATTTCGGTTAGGAATAAGAACGATCGAAGCGAGCTAAGTTTAGGGCTACACGAAGACTGTGGTGGAATTCCCCAGCTAAACTTCGGGATCTCGAGCAGTGTTATTTTCAGAACGTGTGACCCTGAGCTGTAGCTGCGAGCGGCAAACCATTGCTTGATTAGTGGCATCGCATGGTGGGGGATTTAAATTCATAAACCGGCCCCAACCTCCCCCTTGCATACAACAGGTTCGTTGGTTACGCACGCTGAGGAAGAAGAATATTTCCGGATTTCTGGGAAGTGAGAGAACGAAACCACCGAATCCACAACCCACCACATACACAGTGTTACTGCCCTTAGATTGATAGGATTGCGCGATCGGTTATGCCCTTTCTGGGGATCTAGCCATAGGCGATTCCGTTACAGCGCTGTTCAACCAGCCCGTACAGCGGAAGCGGGAGAGAAGTTGTAGACAGTACCCACATGTGCTCCCCTTGGAGTATGGTCAACTCATGAGAAAAATTTTGACCAAACTTCAAAACTTTTTTAAGGGATCGAGGCCCTCTCATTTGAGAGGTCATTTGTGCTTTGGGTCAAGTGTAACGACTAGATAGCAAGTTGATTTGTACGAATTGGTTTTAATCAAGGAACACAGTAGGTCCAAATCCAAGGCAGGTGGCCTCCCTGGACGAAGTTTTTCTCCCAGGTAGAAGTCACATAGCGAAAGCGATCGGGCCATTTCAACGCCGTACTGTGGAAGGTACCATCAGGACCTAACTCAGAGAAATGCCGCTTGTGGCTCCAACCACGTTGTGGCTTGGTGGAGATTCATATAGCGAAGTGTGTCGAAAATGATGAATTTCAATTACCGTTTTTCATATGAGAACAGCGACTGCGAGGGACGGTAAAGAAGCTGTGGGATGCTTACTTCACACACTTCCCATAGACCACATAACTGGATCTCAAAATGGCTAAGAAAAGATCTGTACGAGATTTAAAAAATGTTCACGAACTGTTGCGACAACCAACCTAATAAAACAATTTTAGTTCGGGTTTCGAATGTTAACTAACTGAATCTGTTCTTCATAAGCAACAATTACGAGGGGAGTTATTCGAGGCGCTTAAACTACAAAATTTTGTTGCATGTTTGTCGTTGACTGTTATTGTTGACTACAAAAAATCAAATTTTTAGCTTCTGTGGAATTCTTCAGCAAGTTCCCGGTGAATCTTGTTTGTTTTATTCTGATTTGGCTGCTAGATTCGCGTTTTAAGTATGCCGATGAGCCATCACTCGCCGCCTGGCCCCTCCCAACTACGTTAGCACCTTATTCGATGGATTTCGAGTGGGGTGAGTACATGAAAATAATTCGTAAGGAAACGGAATTTTGGTAAACGTTTTGAAAAAAAGAAAATGCTCGTCTGAGGCTGACGGGCATTTCGTCAGTGCCCTAGATTCGATTTGATAAGTGATTGTTCGATTGACAAATGGTCTAAGTTTGCCCTGATAAAAGCGGTCCGAGGAATCGATAGACAAAGTGACGACAGAAGATGACAAACAAAAAAGTGACCGTATGAACTTTTCTCGCACGCTACGTTTGGTCCCGCCCCCTCAGGGTTACGGTAGACGGGGAACGATCACTTGCATAATTCTGATGAAATAACGCACTCATGACGAAATTGTTTTATAGAATGAAATAGAAACGATGAAGCTCTCTCACTCTCACTCTCTCTCTCTCTCTCAAAAATGGAATGCCAAATAATGTGTGCAAATCTCAATGCTGTAATGCATGAAGTAGTCAGGATAACGAAAACCGCGAAAACTAAATGCTTCCCTTGCATATACACACTTCAGAATTGCACGAATAAAAACGCCAGGATGATTCATACAAAGCTTTTGCGACAGTTCCCGGCCCGACCATGAGTCCCGAAAATTTGGTAGAGAGACTGACCTGAGCTCAGTAACGTTGTAAAAGGTTATGGGCGTTCTCGGCCGAGATTCACATTTTTGGAGAGTATTCCTTGCGTTCAACAGCTGTTCAGAGCTGCAGAAATGCTCGAATGCAATTTCCGCCTATGTGATGCATTGAGGAAGAGAGACTATGTGCAGCTCTGCGTTCCAGTGTGACTAAGTGGCCGACGGACAGGAGGACGTTCTTCGTTGGGGAATTCTCAGCAGGGAGGGGTCGTATTTGGTTCCAAGGTGGAGGGGATCGCAGCTGGCCCGAGAATTTTTTGGATCGTTAACTTTTTCCCAGTTCCATGTTTCGCGAAATGGTGTGGGAGTCGTATTCTGCTTTTTTTCTGAATACTATTTCGTCACGAAATTCGCCGCTGTTGCTCTTTTCCACGTGTTGTCGATTTTCCGCTAAACTCTTTCCCGTTTTCAGTTCGGTGCTATTCCCTCTTGTCCCCGGTTGGACAGACATTTTGGCAGAAAAAAACCTGCACTCAGATTTATTTTCTTCGCGAACTTCTGGAGAAATTGAAATAAGTGCTGTACGCAGCTTGAAGACGATACGATGGCGATAGTAGATAGGCATTGCGGGGGGGGTGTGTTGTTAGTCTAGACAACGGGAAATGGGGGGACTGTTTTTCTCCCCAAAAAATTTCCCCAAGCCCTGCCCACGGATAACTTGAACGCAGTCCATCTACTCACGTCAATCTCCTGTTTTTCTGTGCACCCACTCGTCTGTATGGCGTTCTACAACCAATGTGGTCCACACATTTTAGCTTTTTTCGCGCATTCCCCCTCACCTACCCCGGATTTTCAAGGAGTTTCTTGAAGAAAGGCCATTGAAAACCCATGCCTCTGCTCGCCACATGTTTGTTTTTTGCACTTTTCAGTGCTCTAGCAGCCGCTGTCTGCATGACAACTTTTCACAACCAGCACTTCGTATGCTGGCGATCCCACCTGTAAGCGTCGTAGTTAGAGTCGCTGGAGAGAAGGTCGTACTTCTTTAAGAAAAATGTTCCCGGGTGTTGATTTTTCTCGGTTTTTCCTCTTTCATGCGCGCTATTCACTCCTCGGCAGCAGTTCGGGCAAAAAAGGAGGATTTTTAGGAAAAACTCGGGTAAACGGTAGGAGGTTGAGAAAACTAGAGGATGGTAGGTAGGGCGGGAAGGAGGGTCGTACCAGAGGAAGAAATTCTGAGTGGGTGGTTGTACACTGAAAAATTTTTCCCCAACGGCAGAGCCCTGTTCGCAACAAGTTTCGCAAAGCAACGTAATGCACAGAAAACCACAACTAAATATGTAGTAAACGAGAAGTTCCAGCTTTTCAACAATTCTCTAATTAAGGGGTCCTCAATTCTCCACTGTGAAGGGCAGTGATATCGCAAAGTGCTTCCAAGCTTCCAACATCATTGGGATGTAGAACCTCTTTCCAAATGCTTATGACCCTCCCACCCCACATATGTTGGGGAAAGATACTTCCGCCAACTACCAGGTCGAGTAAAATTGCCGCGTTGCCGCCTGCAGGGATACGCAGTCAGGGTGGGCGCAAATTATAGTGACCCAGAAAGATCTTCTAATCTTATCATAGAAAACACTCCATAGTTCAATCCCCCCCCCCTAAAATGAAAAGTTATTAGTCACTGAAGACCAAAAGCGCTACGACAACGATACTACAACAGTGTCCTCGAATTTACCGCGAGCACCATCGCCAGAGGCTGTGGGTGGTGGGAGAGGGGGAGGGGGAAGGAGGGTATTCGTCATGGTATGCCGTCAGGCTCATCCCAAGCTTCCCCCCCTCCCTCCCCCTCTATTCCCTTCCCGCTCGACGGCGAAATTTCAAGGAAAAAGTAGGAAAATTTTTAGGAAATTCGGAAAAAGCTGTAGGAAGTTGGGGAAATTCTCCCGTTTCACACTGGCTATATACCCCTCCTCCCCCCGCTCGACGGAAAATTTTTGGGCGAAAAACTGGACCGAAAATTGTGTGGAATTGGTAGGTAGGTGTTGGGGAAGGAGCCGAGACCCTCATTTAGAGGAGGGGGGGGTTCGTAATGACACCCTCCTTCGGAGGGGGGTCGTACCTACACCACCACCTCACACATCACGATGCTGTACCCTGTCGACACGTCATGATAGCGGCTATAACGCTAGCAATTGGTGCTCGTCTTATCAATAAAATTTTCTTCACCTCCTAAAGATGAAGCTTCAAGCTTCTTAGCCATCTCACAAGCCGACCGGCTGGGAGTGTTGCAGAAGGGTAGCAAATTTTCTCGATATTCGCTTGAGTGACAACAAATGCTACCCTTTACTGCTCAACCGAACAGGCGTATTGCGGCAAATATTCGTTGCGTGCGGGAGCAGTAACTGGTGGAATTCAGCGATATTCTAGCGATGAGGTGGTGATTTCATCTTTTCCGCTCAGTGCAGAATGAAGATGTGAAATTTATCATTTTGCATGGAACCCAGTGTAATGTTTGAAACCAGTGGGAATCATATGTTTGATTCATTTCGCCGGCAATGATAATAATGGGACATAAAAGAGAGGAATTCGGACAGGAATCAATTGTGTGCACAGCCGGAGCTACGAAGCGAATAGTCGCTGACGGAAATGTTGCTGACGGAAATGTTTGAAAAAGTAGAATGCATTGGGGCACGCTCGAAAAAGAGACTTTGGCCAGACCAATTTTTTCACAATATCTATCGGAGTTCAAGATCTATTGAACTGAAACTTCCTTAAAAGATGTGACTGCGTTGTTAGAGACGCATTCCACGATTGTACATAGTTCATGGGGGGGGGGTCATATGCAAATCATAAGTGCCAACTGACTGGGGAAAAATGATCAAAACTGTCAAAGACGCACTGAACAAGGCTCAGCATTGGACGAGCATTTGGAGAAGCGAAACACTACCGTGCGCGAGAGAGACCAGAGACAAACTTTGAGAGGATATGAAAGCGACCGAGACAACAGATATGACTGCACACGCGAAAGATCAGATCTGTACATGTGAATAAAAGATCGCTGGCATATCTCAGCCCAGGGAGGGGGGATGAGGCAGCTCCTGCAGGTGGCACTTTGATTAATGACGACTGCTGAGCCCGCCACCCAGAATCGAATAGCCTTCCGGATCGTCTGACACATTCGAGAGAGGCTACAGAGGCTGCAAGATTTCAGATTTTCTAGCTGTCGTACTACTGCATGACTGCATGGTGGACTGGTGATGTTTTTGCTTGGTCATACACTGCGTGAGAGTGCCATATGTCCTGCCACAACACGCATAACAAACCATAAGACAAGTGGATTGGAGCGTCGTGCGAAATGCATCGTTATAATTAGCAGGAGGTGAATTTGCATTTGCGAAGTAAGGGGAGGTTGTGTGGTTGGCGAGCGGAGCAGCTTCACAAGCTTGCGGCGCGCAGGTCATATCCCAAGAAGGCTCTCCCTCCCGGGCAGGTAAATTAGTACCACATGGCAGTGTAGGTGCCTCATTTCGAAGAGGAATTGATTTGATCAATGGTGAAAGCTTTGTTCACTTTATATCTGGGAGACACGGCAGGGCGTGGCTGCGGCTTCATTACGCTGCGCTTTCGAAACTATTACCTTTCTAAGAAAGTGCAATCTACAGATGGTATATATCACAAAAACGCATCCTCATCCGCATCCATGCCACGTTCAAATGAAGTATGCAGACGCGCCATCGCCATCTCAGGGATTAGGAGTGCCCCTTATTTTCACCTTCATTAGAAACATACGATTTTCATCAAATGCAGCAATTTTTCAAATCAAATAAGATACCCTCAACACCGAACAGAGAATTACCAGATCGCACGGACACCACTGCAAGGAGCATCGTTCACTTTTCAGGGCGGTCATGATTTTTCCGAGTTCGTTTTACAACTTCTGCTTCTGTGACTTTTACACTTTCCTATTTCGCAAATATACGCTCACTAAAAGGGATTGATCCAACGACACCCACGACCCTGTCCATTTTCCTACACTGACAAACTCAGCGGCGCCGCGTGCACCACACCCTTCGAGGGGATATTGGCGGATTTCCGACCACCCTTCGAAATTCCCACATTTGAGCACAATCTGGTAGCTCCGGGACTCCGCCCACTCAGCTTAAGTCCCGCTAGTTTTTGTAAAATGCCCCAAATTGGCAGGCTACAGTACCATTTAGCAGGTCAATGTCTCTTAACAAATCTTGCCTGGTTTTTCGTCCAAAGTGACGAGAGAGACCCTACTAATGGGTACAGCATCAGGATGGGAGGTTTGGTGTCACAAGGAATCCCCCATATTTCCCTTGGTACAACCCCTCTTCTCCCTTCCTACCTACCATCCCGCTGAATTTCCTCAACTTTTTATCTTTCAGTTACGCCTTAATAACTGCTAGTGGGGGCGGGGTCGGGGAGCGTTATCAGTCCACCACTAATTACAACTATCGGAACAGAATCACTATTTGTGTGGTAGTTCTGCGGTAACAATATCCAACAGGCAATAGATGGAATTTTCCCGATGGCGCTGTACCCTGTCTGCAAAATGAGTGTTATCCATGGGCCAAGGGTCAGCGTAGCTTATTTTGATCCGCCTGAGTGACTCTTTTTCACATAATACTCAATTCCAGGACAAAGCCCAGTTGCCGAATAATACAGTAGAAATGTTGCTGTAAAGAAGAAAGTTCGGGATTTTTTCTATCTAGAATTGCGAACCGAAAGACGTTCAAAGCATGTAGAATCTGTTGAAAGGCATATCAAGTGTCCAATAAAATTTATTTTTTCATTCAGGTTGATATAACACCAACTCGAAATTGTAGTTTCAAGAGGTACCAACCAATCAAAAATAGCAGAATTATCAATAAAATTTATATGCAAACAACAACAACAGCTGTAACAGCTCCCATAACAATAAAATAACAGTTATAACAAATTCAAACATACACATCAGCACTTAAAGACAAACTATACAGTCACCTTCGAGGATGGTCCTTTCCATTTGTAAGGTGAATGGGTCTGCAGCTGCAGTAGCCTGCCACTTTGTTCCGTTCAAAAGTTAAGGGAATGGGGGTAAGTTAGTAATCTCCAAGTTCTCCCTTCTTGTAACCTCGGCATGATGTCGAATATTTAGTTATTTCTGCCAAACGAGGTTTTAGATAGAACCTTTTTATTGGCGCTGTAGGTTAGCGTTACCCGAGCGCCGTCTTCATACTCCGCTCGCGCTCTCCTCAAGATTTAGCACTTGCGTGGATGTCAAGAACCCGCAGCGAAGCACGCATTCAAGTGTAGAGTAGATCCATAAATGAGAGGGTACAGACTAGTTGCGCGTCTGGCTACGGCTAAGCGTAAAGCCGGCCGTGCGGCAGCGGGGGCGGAGTATGGAGCCTGCAGCTGAAAAAGGTACCATTAGCATCTCCCCGTACAATTTTGAGCGGAGAAAGTGGTACGCTACTGCAGCTGCAAACAATTCTTTCCCAACCATAG